AGCATATTCTTTCTTTAAGTTCCTTTACTTTTCTTTGATTCTTAAAACATTACCATGTGACCCAGTCACATCATGTATCAGGAATCTCAGAATAGAAACTTAACAGAGTTAGATTAGTGGACTTTACCTGAAGTAGAGTCAATCTTATTGACTTTAACATCCTTAGGTAAATTTGGCAGCTTCGCAACTAATGACCCTTCCTTTGGCAATATAAACATATGGACCCTTTGATAATGGTACACGGGACTATTACAGACTTAGCCTTTTTCTCTTTACCATTTGGTCAACCTAGTTGACTATGGTCAATCCCTTTTCTTGGGAAGAGAATGCTTTTTCGGTATTTCCTGTGTCACATTGTCAATGTCCATCAAGTTTTGAGGAAGTTGATCTTAACAAATAAATAAGATCATTAAGGGTCTTGTCATAGTCTGTTTCATAGATGTTCCAAAAGAACTCACTATGTGACTTAGAAAGTAGTTGAACCACCAACTTTCTCAAGACTTTGACACCCAACTCTCCCGGCTTGTCAATATGTGACTACATCTCCAAGATATGATCACACCTAGACCTTGCCTTGCCAATGGGGCTTGAGTGATCTTAAACTTTTCAAGAACTTATGGGGTAGGGAGAATAATTTGGAGGAGGTGAATGAAGTATGATTTCCATGGGACATCATCTTCATTTAGGAAAGCTTTTTCAAGAGATTTGGGAAGATCATAAATGTCTAAACCAGACATGTTTTGGGAGATATTCAAGATAGTTGATCTTAAAGTCCTTAATATGACACCCAATATGAAATATTAAGGCTAGGACCCAACAAACTATTTTATAACTTAGAAGAGGTATGCCGTAATCCAAGCTATAAAACAATTTGAAGGTAGGTGAATGACGATTCACCAATTTCCACCAAGATAAACGAAATGTATTATTAGGTTTTAATTGGTTTTGAAACTCCTAGATGTTTTGAGATTCATTGAACTGTTCAATGGCATGTTTCAATCTCGAGTGTGCCCTTCAGGTTTTGTGACTGGGATACCGAGGATCACAAAACAAGGTGTGAAGTAACCATGCAAATTACTTGGTACCCTTAAGTGTTTACCCCTTAATCGATGTGCCGGTTAACCACACACGCTCCATCGATACTATGATAAACATTAAGTTACCCTTCGCCTACCTTGTTAAATACGAGTTAGTGTGCCGGTTAACCACACACGCTCCACTAACCGACTTAAACAAAGTGCAAAGTGTAATTTCATGGATTAGCACCTTATTCACATTTTCCTAAGTAACTAAGATTGGGAATTATTAAGAGTTTAGTTACTTAGTATTTATCATTAATACTTTTAATGAAGGGAGAATTATAGTCCTGTCAAACCCGTTCGGCTAACGACCCTCCACCAGTCAAGCAAGCGGTGGGTGAGAGTGGACACCCATTAAGTTGCCATTTTATAGGCAACAACCTTATACCCACCTTATAGACCGGCTTCGTGAATGAGGTGTACTAGCGGTAAGACCGACTTTACTCTTATACATGTATATATTATTAACTTATAATATTATAAAGTATAAGGGTTGAATTTTAACTTTTAAAATTCTAAGGGCTAACTTGGAATTAAAGTATTCATAAGAGAAAACTTTAAAATTCCAAAACTTGAGGGCAAGTTTTGAAACTATTCAAAACTAATTAATTCCATAACTTATGTATTTAAAGTAGTTTTAATCCAAAAACTCTTCAAGTTCCATAACTTGAGGACAAATTATGGAAGACTTTAAACTAATAAAGAATTAACTTTTTCTTTATTTTATAACTTATGGAATTAATTAAGGTTACATTATTTTTATTTATTTATTTATTTAATGAAGAGACTCTTGGTCCTCCATAACTTGAGGACAAATTATGGAGTCATAACTCCAATTAATTAAAACTAGACTCTTCATTTTTTGTAACCTTTGCCAATTTTATGAGTTTTATGAGTCTTTAATGTGACTCTTCATGTAACTTGAGGACAAGTTGCACAATCACATTTTATACTCAACTCTTAGATTAAAATGGATTGAAAACAACTATTTCAATTAACTTTTCTATTAATCTAAGCAACTCATAAGAACAAGATAATTCAAATCAAACTTTTCTATTAACAATTATCTTTGAAAATGGATTAGCATGAACATTACCACATTAAAAAAAAACAAGTTTATAAGTTCAAAAACAACTTAGGGTAATGTTCCTAGTCCATTTCTAGCCAAAAACCTCGAAAATATGTTGTATGGGGTCCAACTCATCGAGTGCATGAACATAACTCGGCGAGTTGGATGCATTTTGCCTTGGACTCGTCGAGTCCCTTCATGGACTCAGCGAGTCTACTGGGCTGATAGCACCAATTTCGATTTTTCAGCTTCTATTGCAGGTATAACAAGAAAACAAACCTGGCTCTGATACCAATGTTGGGTTATGAGCATTCTAACACTCCTAAGTGTACATGCAACCCTAAATACCTTGGATCTATGTTTTCTCTATTATACATGCAAATATGAACATCCAAGGTATTATCCTAATCTAGCATACAAAATAATGGATATAACAAGATAGAATACATACCTTTTCATGTAGAAAGTCTTCATGAAGCTTGAGTGCCTAGTGCCCCAAGTGTGACACCTCAAATGGTTCACACAACACCAAATACACTTGGAATAACTTGAGAGAATTCTACACTTCATAAAATCGGCTAGCCCTCTCTAGAATAATACTAGTGGCCGATTTTGGGAAGAATAATATATTTATATAGTGTTACAATTAGGGTAAACCCTAATTGTCATGACTTTCCATTTCCTTGGATCCATGGGTTCAAATACACCATGGAGCATCCATGGAGCATTATATGGGTTTTGGCCCAACTAAATAATCCATGGAGCATTAGCCCACTATACGAGTATGGATGATTTGTACAATCAACCCATATATTTAATTAGTCTTCTTTAGATCACTTAATTAATCCTAGATTAATTCTTGATCAATACTAATTAAATAATCTTATTATTCTTATTATTAATATACTAGAACTTATAATATATTAATAACTGTAAGTGTCTTATTTCTCTCATTATAGTCTATCCAAGTGCATGATGCCATGCAACCCAAATGGACCATGCCGGGTCGGGTCAAGTCTTACCAATTATAGTTATGGACTTAGACATTAATCCAACATACTGATCATGTCATGTGCTTGCAACTTGGTACTTTCCTGCCTATTATACTTAGCTACATACTCTGCTACTTTAGTCTTAATCTCCTCTAAAATTATAGTTGCAGTAGTACTTAGTTCCACTTGACACTTACATATTTCCTTTTGCACAACACATCCTATTCATGAGATACTCTCTAATATACTTTAAGCATGTGATGATTGGTTTATCCCTACCTTCATCTATCTTAGCATTGAATACCTCACAAAGATTATTTAACAAACAATCAGTGTGTGCCCTACCTGTGTAAAACATATTAAAAAAGAAAATTTGCACATTTTATATTAAAAACTTAAAATTCAACTTGTTAGTGACATACCACTGAAGTGAGATTTAGACCATTTCTTTGCAAGAATCTTACACAACCAAGAATGAGCTTCATCATTAATTTTCTTCAAATCATCCATTGCATATTTAAAGTGATTTAATGTTGTTGCTCTACGATATTCCCAAACTTTGTCACTCAACTCTTTTCCTTTCCATTGTTTCTTCATATTCTCCTGAATATGACTCAAACAAAAACCTATGTTCTGCATTGAGAATACCTTTGCAACTGTTAGTATTATCCCCTTAACAAATACAAATACAGTCAGTTTCATTTATAAAAATAGAAAGTAAGCTACACTAACATGAGAAATAATGAGGTGAAACATACCTTTTGTCTATCGGAAATGTAGGTAAATTTGAATTTGCTCCCAATTCCAAGTCTTCTCCTAACAATTCCATAAACCAGGTTCAAGAACTAGTTGTTTCTACCTCTACCACTGCATATGCTACATGGTATATTCCATTATTTGAGTCTAAACCCACATCAGTTAGTACCTGCCCAGGATATTGGCATTTCAAGAATGTACCATCCACTCCCAGGAAATCCCTTAACACAACTTTGAATCCCAACTGCAATGCACCTAAACATACATATATCCTTCTAAAAGTTCTTGTAGTAGTCGACAAGCATGGTTCATGATACACATCTATCCTAACAGTTGTAACAGGATTAGTGTTTTGCAGTTCCAAAGCATAATCCCTCAGATACACATCTTGTAGTTGGTAGTCCCCATTGATCACACATTAGTCATTTGTTTTGCCCTAACAACCTTTTGAATTGAGATACCAAGCTCCAGCTTCTTACACAAATCCTCGTGTAAAGATTTGATTGGAATTCTAGGATTACTCTGAATTTGTGGAACAATTAAGTTTGCTAAATATTTGGAAGTACAAGCTTCAACTAATCTCTCCTGCAAACATTTATGGACATCATGTATTGTTTTCACCAACCAATCCTTATTCTTATTTGGCCTCGGGATTTGGATAGCCCAAGGACATTTTTCTTTTTTAATAATCACATTTTTTCCATTACACATTACCTTACTTCTAGTTGATAGGCCACCATGTTCAACTGTTTTAGTATATTGGCCCACAACACCTCCACATTTCTCCCTTATCCTGATTTTATTATTTTTTGTTAAGTATATGGACCTCCTTGTTTTTACAGCATATGAATGCATGTAATCCACAACTTCCTTCCTTGTTTCGAAACACTGCCCCACCATATACGGTTTTAAATGGATCCCCCCATGAGAGCATGGAGTTGACCTACTCATCTCCTTAAGCATTCTTTTCCTTTCATCTTCATAAAATCCTATACACTGATAATCATCACTTTGAATAACTTCCAACTCTTCATGAACTATGTCATTCCCTACAGATTTGATTTGCTTGTTTAAAATTTCATGTTCATCTACATCCACAACACTTTAGAATTCGCTCATGTCTATATCCACATCAAATTGCAAGTTAGACTCATGTACAATGTAGTCACTATCATCAAAATCATCTGCACTATAATCAGATTCATCTACATTCTGATTATAGAAAACATCTCCACCATCATCACTTAACATGCCCTTTAGAATTTCCATTCCTACTTGATTGTCTTCACCATTTGGTACATTGTACTCAGCATCAAAGTCAGCATAATATGAATAATCCTCTGTAAATGCTTACTTTTTCTCCACCAATATCTTCACAAATTGGTTCCTCTGCATGATTGAATAAATTACCCTTACCCACTTCTTTTATGTGGCCCATGGTCACTCCTTCATTCACATCGATGACATTACTTTGTTGGCTAAGTTATGACATAACATATGGGACAATAGTCTTTGAATGATCCTGATTTTCATCCATATTTATTACCTATGACTGGTCAACAACATGGTTGATAGGGTGGTTTACATCAAACTTTTTACTACACGATCCTACTTCTCTTCTACAAGGTTTTTTTCTATTAAGTTTTGGTGACACACTCTCAGGTTCCAATTCCTAAATAACAACTTTGGAAGGAAACTTAAAATAAGTAGGTACCCTAATCTGATCAATTTCAGTATACACCTTTACAAACTTGTGTTTAGGGACATAACCAATTTAAGTACGTCTTGGTTATTACTTAAAGGCAAACAACCTACCATTTATTAATACAAAACGACAAAATAAAAAGGCCAGAGCACGAACCCTAATAAATAAACATAACAAAGAAAAACTGCAGAAATAAGTGATAAAAGACAACCAACAAACAAATAACAATAAACAAACATATTAACAAATAATATTACAAAAGTTATTTTGTACCTCCTGTTGTTGACGGCATGTGATGCTAATGTTGTGAGCCTAACAAGAAACAAACAGCTTAACAACAGTCTGTGATGCTAACTTCTAAGCACTTGCCAAATACCAATTAAAAAAGCTCCATAGTTACAACACAAAATTCTGAAGTTTTAAAAAAGGGAAACCAGATGAAAATGATGAACATTCTTACATTCAAAAACTGATATTAAACAAGTGAGTAACAAACTAACTCTAAAAAAATCAAGAGGCCACTTACATTGAGAGTTAAAGGGATTCATAATCACTCAATCAAAAGGTCATAAACTTAGATTTGGATAAGTTGGATTCTCTGATTCTTACACAACATAAAATTCTGAAGATCAAAAAATATACATAAAAGAATAGATTATATCACAGATTCACAGAAAAATAAGAAATTTCAATTAAGGGTTAGAAAGTATAACTAACAGAATCATAAGAAATTTCATAAATCACACATTCACAATTAGCGATTTCGATGGGAATACTTAGAGTCTCAGGCGCTAATGCGACCTCGTCTGTAACTAGCGATTCTTAGAATTTCAGTGGTCTGTGTTATTCCAGTCTTTCCAGAAAAAAAAAAATGAAACTTGGAAATCTAAAATAGAAGGGCAAGAATCCGGAATCGTGAAAAGTGAACCCAAGAAGCAAATAATCGAATGTTGAATGTCGATTTGAGAATCAGATACCCTAAATCAGAAATCAAAAAAGATGGAGAATCGGAGAAGATATTAGAGATCGAGATCGATTCAACTACAATTAAATATGAAATGAGAAATTAAATATCATCCTACATTTTCTTCTTACTATCCTCCTACCTACATTCAATGTTCTAAAAAGTTCGTCATGGCTCCAAGGCTTGCACCTACCGCCAAGCTTTACAAAAACGCCGTCTTAACTCGTATATGTGTATAAAAATGAACAATAGTTGAAAAAACATATACAAATATTATTTATATAGAAAATTGCCGCCTTACAAACGTCGTGGTTCGCCAAGGCTAGAAAAAGCTTGAGGCTTGACATTTTCGCCAAGTCACACCTTACGTTATTTAGAATCTTGCCCACATTAAATGGTGACAAGAAGATGAAAATATTATCAATTTCATTAAATATGTCATTAAATGTGACACGTGTCAACATTTCATATGGTAGAAGGATAAGTAGAAAAAAATGTAGAAGGATATTTAATTTCTCATGTGAAATAGAACAAATTTGAGTTCTAACCGTTGCTTACCTTAACGAATCCAGAGAAAGCGTTTGGATTTTCCATGGAAATTGATCGTTCAAGATTTAATTTGCCTTGGAAGTCGGACATCACTCATCTCTCGCACGCCAGTCGCGATCGCTCATTCCTCCCGCTTCCTTTTTGGGTTGGCACCTGATAAGAGGATTGGGCTTCAATAAGCGGTCCAATAAGCTATAAACTAATGGGCTACGACTATAAGATTAATATAAGAAATATAAAATGGGAGCCCTTTGGCATTTTGAGGCCCGGGGCGATCGCCTAGCTTGCCCAGGTCTATGAACCGGCCCTGCATACTTTCCCTGCATACTTTCCCAAAACCATCCTTGTAGGAAAAAAAACACAAATATATATTATTTGCATATTTAAAATAAACAAAATATCATTTCTTTCAAATAAATAAATAAATAAATAAATAAATAAATAAAACCTCATCTGGGTGATCAATTGTTGTCACTTGTTGAAGAGGAACCTGCATGATTAAATGTTATGTGTAGCTTTAACTTTATAAATTATTTAATAGAAATTATTAATCTTTTTATCTACAAAAGGTTAAAATTTAAACATATTAAAGCTGAAAAAAAATCCCAAAAGAAAACCTAAAGAATCAAACAGATTATATCACGTTAAGGATTGCAGAAGCCTTATAAAGCTCTTCCTTTCTCACATCTCCAATACCATCTGCATTATCTATAAACAAAGAGCCCAAGTTTATTTTTAATTTACTAAGTAAGTTTTGTTTTTATATAAAATGGTGATACGAAAAAATTGTGCTTCAAATACTGATGGCAAAAAGAAATACCAATAAATGAAACTTGTATGTAAGATTTATGTTCATAGTGTTACCATAGATCCTGATTAATTCACAACTAAAGCTTAATTTATGTAATTTAAAAAAAAAAAAAAGTAAAATTAAGAAATTGTTATTAGTTGAAGTCAGGTGATTAATTATTGGTCAAAAAAACCAGCCAGTCGAATATTTCGAAAACAATATAACGAAGATTTTGACCTTTCAAATTTTTGGTAGATCCTGTATAATGGAATTAAGTATTAAATATACCATTATCAAAAGGAGAAAATTATTACTTTAAATATTAACCTCAGATTGAGGGCTTTTTTGGAAAAAAATGAAAAGTCTTCAAGTATTAAATTTTTACTTTAAAAAAAATATTAACCTTCATTGTTAACCACATTCAAAAGCAATATTATCCTAATATTCTCCAATGGAAAAGATAGGACTTGAAGCTTCAGTGTAGTCTTTCTAATCCAACAATCAGATTCCTTGTCTCTATATATAACGTTCAAGTAAAAAAAATCAAATTCAACAAATATTAAGGTTAAGGAAAACAGAAAAATCCTTGAAATTGTACAAAAGATCCAACATTTAAAAATGAAAGTAATTAGCTAAAAAAATAAAATACAAACTTCCTTAAAAGCAGGACAAGATAAACCTGAGCATCAGCTATTTAGCATCCTTTGTCACATATATCAAGTTGAATTTCACTTTCTATATAAATGCAAGGCTTCAAGAGAATTACCTTATTGAAATTGAACCAATGATAACCTCTAATGTTTGCAATCAAATGCCAAGAATAGCATGTTATCACATGATATTATTCCTTAGAACGCAGAAAGTTGAAAGCAAAACCTAAAAACACCATCTCTGTAGAGAATAACACCAAACTTCAATAAGATAATGAAAACCACACCCACATAAATGTGAAAAAATATACTGGAATGAGAAGAGCTTTGAGCTATATTTTCCACCTATTGCTTCTAGAACCTGAACATAAACTTCACGAGTTAGTTGAGACTGGATTTAGCTTGAACAAAAAGAAACACACATCAAATGTATGAGAAGATAAAGCACAATCGTGATTCGGTTCGGGCACAACTGTACCCGGGTGGCAAAATAACAACGATGGCTGCACTTTTCGGTGGTCGCCACCGTCACCATCGGTTGCTCCCACTTTTTCTTTTGTTCCCGTGACCACAATCAGTGGAAGATAGAGCAGGTTGGGTGATGCGGTTGAGCAAAGATCGCCAAGGAGTGGAGGGATTAAACCATGACGAAGCGGATGTTTTCTTTTACCTTTTGTCTTAACAAGCGGCTGGAGTTGTTGAAAAAAATATTTACCAATCTAGTATAGTTTGGAAAATATTTACTAAACTAGTGTTTTTCTTCAATTTTTTAGTTATTTTTCAATATTTCTTATTGTTTTTCTATTTATTTATAATATATCGGTTTTTTTACTTTTTTTTATTTCAGTTTTTTTACTATTTATTGTTTTTACATATCAGTTTATTTTTATTTTATTTTTGTTTCAGTTTTTTTGTTTTATTTTTTTTACTTTTATTTAATATACATTTAACATAAATATCTAACACACAAAAGAGCTTTATTATTTTGGTTCATTATATGCTTATTTGATTAAATTTCTTTCTACCGAGTATTATTTTGGTTCATTATATCATCAAAACTTGCAGGTTTCTTACCCAACTATTCACTTTTAAAAATTTGCACAAAAGTAATAGTTGTGTTATCAAATTTTGTCGGTATCTTTTTTTTGTTTTTTTACAATTTTGTTTTCACATGTTTTGAAATAAAAGTTTTTATTGATCTGGAAATTTGTTTTCTAAATGTTTTTTACATATTTAGTTTTATGCATGTATTTTATGATTTCTTTCGTTTTACAAATAAGATTTATTTTAAAATTTGTTTTCTATGTTTTTACATATTTGTTTTTATGTAAAGACATAAAAAATATGTAAACTTTTGCTTTTTATATTTTATTTTCAATGTAAAGAAACTCAGAAAGCATGCAAATATTATATAAATAAAGATATGAGAAAAAATTTCTTTCTATAAAGGATTAAGTTTTTAAAATATATGTATAAATAAATGGTAAGGAAATTAAACTAAACCGATAATCACTATATAAACAGTGGAAAAAAATTACTCAAATAGGCATATAATGAACGAAAATAATAAAGCTCTTTTGTGTGTTAGATGTTTATGTTAAATGTACATTAAAAAAAATCTAAAATGAAAATAAAATAAAAAATAAAATAATATTTAATAACAAAAAATAGTAAAAAACTGAAATAAAAAAAAGTAAAACAGCGGATATTTTAAATAAATAGAAAAACAATAAGAAATATTGAAAAATAAATTAAAAATGAAGAAAAACACTAGTTTGGTAAATATTTTTCAAACTATACTAGATTGGTAAATATTTTTTTCAATAACCCCATTTTGGTTAAAAACTCAGGAGTGAGTGGTGGATGGATAGGAAAAAAGCGGTGGATTGGTTTGACTGGTAAATGAAAAGTGTTTTATCGGAAGAAGCGGACACTAACAATTTTTATCCATATATAACAACCATGCTTTAAAATGTTATATTGTACACCTATATAATGTATAAATTATTGTGTATGACAAAAAACTATTGTGTACGAATCACTTCTTCTAAATATACGTTCTCAAGTTAAAGACAAGTGTAAAGGGACATTGGAAAAAAAATGTTAAAAAGAAAGAGATTATCTTTACCAAAATAAAAATAAAAATAAAAATTTTGGTCCAACACAAACAAAATACTATTCCTAAAAGGGACTCAAAATTGTATAGATTTGATTTGATTAGTAAAACTTTGTTTTTCAAATTTTTGATTAAAATAAAAAATGAAAAAAAAAATGATTTTATAAATAGATATAACTTTATTTAAATGCTTTTAAATATAACAAAAAAAAGTTTATTATCT